CTTTCATCACTATAGGCTCTTCCTTAACCTTTATAAAATTAGCATAATAAATTCATCATGTGAGAAATTTTTTAGCACTCAGTGATTGTGATGTCTGTGACTTGAAAGTATCAAGGAGGTGGACATAAGGGAAGGTCTTACACATTCTGAGGTTTATTAATGGTTTTAATTTTTGTGATATATAAAATTATTTCTATGAAGAACTATATTATAAAGGCATAAATATAGAATAGAGGACCTATGTCAGCACTTGCTTCATAGATTTCTTAGGGATCATGTTAATGAAAAAAAGAATTACTTGGGAAATGAGGTTTAAAATAGTTGTACAACCCTACAAATATAATTAATATCACAGAACCATATATTTTCCTTGGTGTATTCTCAAAAACAGTAACAACAAAAATAAATAAAATTTAGGGGAAAAGACTGGGAAAGAATGTAAATAGATTTTATTTGCTATTCCTTTGATTCACTTAAAGATTTCTTCTGTCTAAGGTTCTTCACTGCATGATTATTCTTGTTATGTGCCGTTGAGTCACATGCAATTCATAGCAACCCTATGTACAATGCTCTGAACCCTGTCCTATCAGGGTCCAGTCTCACTGACTCTGTACAAATAAGCCCATTGCCCCAGTCACTATGTCAATCCATATTATCAAGCTCTTCTTCTCCTGCACAGTCCCTCCACCCTTCCAATCATGATGTTCTTCTCCAAGGACTCGTCCCACCTGGCCACATGCTCAAAGTATATGAGAGGCAGGGAGCTTCAAAATCCTTTTCTCTGAAAAGAAACTTGTTTCATTCTATCCAAGACAGATATATTTGTTCTCCTGGCGGTCCACAGTATGTTCAATACACATTTCCAACACCGCAACTCAATGGCATGGATTCTTCTCCTGTCATCCTCAGTCATTTTCCAGCTTTCTGATGTATAGCAAGTAATTGCAAAGACTAGGCTTGGATCAGACACACCTTAACCTCTAGAAGGATGTAATTGCTCTTTAGCACTCTGGAAAGGCCACTGATAGCAAACTTACCAGATACAATTAATCTTTTGACTTCCTGACTGTTGGTGCCAAGAATGTTGATTGTGGAGCTGAGCAAGCTGAAATTGTTAACAACCTAAATCTATTCTCCATCCATCCTGGTGCAGTCAATTGGCCTGGTGGTGAGAATCTTTGTATTCTTGATGTTGAACTTCAGTCCATTGTGAAGACTAATGTTCTTGAAATCCTGCAGCAAACATTTAAGGTCCTCCTTACAAAAGAAACAAGGTTGTGTCACCTGCATAATGCAAGTTGTTGATGAATCTTCCTCTAATCCTGATGTCACACTCCTCCTCATAAAGACTAACCTCCTGTATGATCCGTTCCACACATAGATGGAAAAGGTATGGAGGCTGGACACACACATCTCTGAGACACTCTTTTGAATGATAAAGTGTTTCTTTGGTCTGTTTTGACGACTGCCTCCTGGTCTAATTATAGGTTTCTCATGAGCACAGTCAAGTGTTTTGGGATTCCCATTCTTCTCAAAGTTAGCCACAATTTTTTGTGATCCACACAGTCAAATGCCTTTGCATAGTCAGTGCAATACGTATAGACATTTCTCTGGTACTCTTTTCTTTCAGTCAAGATTTATCTGACTTTGGCAGTGATGTCTTCAGTGCCAAGGCCTCTTCCAAACCCAGATTATACATCTGGAAGTTCTCTGTCAATGTATTGTTTCAGTTGTTTTTGGTCATCTTCAGAAGTATTTTGCTTGTGTGTGGTATTAGTGATAATACTGAGTGAGTTCATCCCTTTTGATTTTCAGACTCCAACTCTTTGCACATTTCATTATCATATTTTGCTTTCTTTTTCTGTGCTCCCCTTTGAAATTTTCTGTTCAGCTTCTTAACTTCTTGATTTCTTCCATTTGCTTTGGCATCTTATTGTAGAATGAGTATAAGATCCAGGAGGGGTGGGAGAAGCTGGAAGTAGAGGATGTTCAGGGGAAAGAAGGGATTAATCATTGGGTTGTAAAATTTGATGGGGGAGGGGAGGTAAATTGAAAGAATTGTCCTAATTTGTATTAGAATTTTTAATATAAACTAGTGTAAGGAAAAAAATCAAAAATGGAGAAAAAAGAAGCAAAATAAGTTTAAATAAATTTAAAACCATATAGACAGATATTCTGATTACATCACTTGCCTGTTTTATGATGTTTTATAATTGATCTTCTATATTTAAATACTTTTTCTCTTTAGAATCAATATAAAGTAGTACCTATTTTGTGTCCAAATGACAATTAAGACATTTTCAGTGGAAAATTAATTGGTACTACTTTCATAATGTTTTCTGGAAAAATGAATTAAAAGATGCTTGGTTCAATTTCCAATATTACATGCTAAGATATATTAAAAATAAATATAACAAAGCACACTCAAAGCTAATACAAAGACTAGCATTTTGAGTTTCTTTAGCACTAAATTTTATTACAAATACATTAACTTATCTAAAACTATCGAAGAGTCAAAATAAAAAATATGCACCTTTGGCTCGTCTCTTCGCACACCCATGCGGCCTCTTCTTGGTCTTCTTATTACTTTGGTTGTTCTATAATCAGACTGGCTGTCTACCAGTGATCCCACTGAATACCTCAACTCAGCTGATGTATCCAGGTGAGTCCTGGAAAAAACCAAAATATGAAACATACCCAGTCTCACAAATGAAATGTAATAGTAAATAACTATCCATTGCTGAATTAACTATAAGCAAAAATACTATGGCTTTAGGAAATTAAACATTACTAACATTGATGATTTACCATAACACATTGAATAAAGCCCCTTTAAGGGCTTGTAACAGAAATTCTCATCTTAGGTTTATTCTCTAAGTTAATGTTAATTGCCTTCTTTCAGAATAAATAATCTTTGGATCAATAATTATTATTTTATCACTTTTAAATATGATATAATGATACACATTAAGGCTGATATAATTGATGCCTTTGAGCTGTGGTGCTAGAGAAGAGTATCGAGGGTACCATGGACTGCCAGGAAAACAGATTCATCCTGGAAAGGGTTAAACCGGGCGGCTCGCTGGAGGCAAGGATTCTGAGCCTCCATCTAACATACTTGGGACATGTTGTAAGGAGGGACCGGTCCTTGGAGAAGGACATCATGCTGGGGAGGGTGGAGGGAGAGCGCAGGAGGGGAAGACCCTCTCTGAGGTGGATGGATTCAGTGACTTGGGTTATTGGGATGAGCATATCTGAGACGGTGCAATTGGCACAAGACAGAGCAGAGTTTAGGGCTGTTGTACATAGGGTCGCTGTGAGTCGCAAGCGACTCGACGGCACACAACAATAACAACAACATCATATTGGTTTTAGGGAGCTCTGGTGGCCTACTTGGTAAGGAGTTGTGTAACCAACCTAGATCCACCAGCTGGTCTTCTTGAGATGAAAGAGCAATCCCTCATGTGCAATTACAGCCTCTGAAAACCTGCTGGAAGGTCAGCGATGAGTGGTTCTGACTTGATGGCAATGGATTTGAAGTGGTTATTCCTTTTTTAAAAAATGCATTTAATTAAGGTATTTCTCATTAATGTAAATTAAAAAAATAAGAGGAATTTATTTACATGTTAAGCATTTAATGAATAATTTTGTAATATATAATCTATACTCAAATTCCAATTTAGGGACTCAAGAAAATGCTTACAATCAGATTGGTTTAATGTTAATAACATATTATTTTGGGGAGTTCTGGTGGCCTAGTGGCAAGAAGCTATGCTGCAATCAGAGAGGCATGCAGTTCAAAACCACCAGCTACTCTGTGGAAGAAGGATGGGCAATTTCCTCCTGTGTGATTAACTGTCTTGAAAACCCACCAGTGGGTTAGCTATGGAGTAGTTCTGACTCTGTGGAAAACAACAACAAGAACAACAAAACCAATCAAAACCAACAATATATTATTTTAGTCAAATGGGATAAACCCCAGGAGAAATGTTAAGCTTAAGAGAATTTTCTAAAAATGCAAAAAACAAATTTTGATATCTATTCTGAAATCTGCTTAGAGTCAAAACATTTGGAAAATTCCAGCTGGAAATATTATCATGCTGTTTTTCAATAAACTGCAATAAAGTACACTGTGATCAAAGTGCAGCAATGGTTTCCTCAGGCATATTATTATATAAATACTTAGAGCAGATTCAATTCATTACTATATTAATGATAACACTAAAAGACGTGACAACGTGCTGTCTTGTAAAATCAAGTAAGAAATTGATCATCTTTAGGAGTTATTCTGAGTGCTGAGCTCTCTGTTGGGCTTGGGGGAATCTCACTTGATGTACTATAGACTTTAGTCATATATTTTTGATGAAAACATAATTTGTTAATATTTCACAAGACCAGAAAAGATTAGAGGAAGTTTAAGCTTGAAAGACTGACCTAAGGGATAGCAAGATGTAGCTATTTTGTTAAGTAAGATAACAGAGTAAATGAATTACAGAACCATCTTTTCAAAACAAATTGGTTTTATTGATAATAACTTATTGAAAACTACCTCACCAACCAGGCCAAAAAACAAACAAACAAAAATAGCTCCACTGTCCGTTCATTATCTGTTGGGCAAAGGCACTAACTAAAATGACAACAAAGACAAAAATTTTAGTTTCCATTGTAGCTTCAGAGATATATGTCTAACACATTGTTTGTTGTGCTGCCAAGTCACTTGCAATTCATAGCGACCCTAAATACAATAGGGTTATCCTCGCTTGTGATGTCCTGTCACCCTTCCAAGCATAATGTCCCTCTCCAAGGACTGGTCCTTCCTTACAAGATTCCAAAACTATGTCAGATGAAACCTTAGAATATTCGCCTTCAAGAAGCAGTCTGTTTTCATCCTCTCTAAGATAAACCTGTTTGTTCTAGCATTCCAAAGTATGTTCAATACTCTATCCAGCATCACGGCTCAAAGGCATCAATTCTCCTTTATCATGCCTGGTCATTGTCTAGCTTTCTGATGCAGAATAGGTGATTGCAAAAACTATGGCCTGGATCAGGTGCACCTTAATCTCCAGACTGATATCGTAGGACACAGAAAACACTTAATAAATGGCAAGTTATTTTTAGAAAATATGAAGCAGAGCACAGGGCCAATCATATCAAGTCTGTCTTTAAATTCTTCCATGTGTTTCCAGTTACTTTGTCTAAAGTTTCAAGTATCATTTCTTGGAAGGACTTCCATAATATAGGCCTTTTCTACTTTTCTAACTTCATTTCTAGCTACTATGTTCCCTGTTCTCCATTCAAGCCATACTGACTTTCTTTCAGTTGTTTCAATACTTAAAATTTCTCTTGATTCTGAACCTTTGACCATTTTGGTTTTTACACTTGAAATAATATCTTCACATCTTGACATGGCTAACATTATTAAGTTTTCATCTTTATGAAGTCTTACTACTATATATTTTTCTAGCTTCAATTATCTTCCACATTAAAAAACTCCTTAAACTACTATCTCTGTTTTTCCATTAGATATCTGTACTCTTTATGTACTTCTATCTCCCAGTATCTTAAACGTAAGACTACTGGTTACAGTTCACCAGAGAAATAATTGGCCACTTCTCACATTTTATTCATCTCTTTGAATCAGTTCTCTATGAGGAGAAAGTAGAAGTAATACTTCTTTACTAATTCTATTTTTCATACCCACTCAGGGGCACTTTGGTTGATCTACTTTGTAAAGACTACAGCAAACATAAAAATAAACCAATCAGTAAAACCTAAGCCAATTTTATATTGTCACATGAGATCTTTATGTAGTAGAGTTTGACAAAAACAATTTAGTTTTTAAATCATTTTTGGTATACAAGATTTTGAGAAATTTTTGGTGGTCTAAATAGATTATGATTTATTCATCAATTTGTTAGGCCATGAACCCTATTTGCGGTCAATTTCAACTAATAGTAGTCACATGCTATGCCTTGCTTTTTGTGTGTGTGTGTATTTTGACAACATTTTTCTTTTTTTCCATTATTATCACCTCAGTATAAATTCATATGAATGACTTCAGAGTTTTGGTGTGTTGTTTTGTTGTTTTTTTTTGTACAATGATTTAGTCATTGCAAAGGGTTTGGGTTTTTTGTTTGTTTGTTTTTACTTAAAGGTTTTCATACAGATATATACTAGTATTTAAAAAAATAAAAATTATTTTATAAAATAAAATAAAAATATATTTTATTCCTAAAGAAAGCATGGTTTTCTAAAATAAATTACTTATGTATTTATAACATCTTCAGATTTTTTAATTAAATACAGAATTATATTGGCATGTGCATAATGGGAAATAGTAATGAATAGAAATAGTAGAGTGAAAACTACAGAAGGTACTTTTTTCATTTCTTTGAGGAGATATAAAACCATAAGGAAATTCACATTGAATTTTACTTAACCATAGATAGTTCTAAATTTAATGTTACCTAGATATTGCAGGTTCAATTAAAGAGCCAGTTCTCATCTTCACTTGGTCAAGTTCAGCTCTCAGCTTTTCAATTTCTTCTGCCAATCTTTCCTGGGAAAAAAAAAGCAGGGCCAATTTACTAAAAGAAGGAAAATCTTTTGCTTATTCAGCAAGTATCCGTTTCCTTTTCCTTTGAGGGCTGAAGAACACCTGAGTAAAGAGAAAGCAAGGCTGGATTGAAAGGACTAGCAACAATGTATCAATTTAATAAAGAGGTTTAGCAAACCTATTATGACAATTATTATCTCCATAGTAATAAAAATTTTGTGTTACTAATATGTTTTAAATGTTCTGTTTTGGTCTATAAGTTTATGCGTATACATGCTGTTTAATAGCCTTTAATTACAAGTGGGATCTAAATTTTGTTTTAACGATTATAACTTTTACATTACTGTAATATAAATAAACATCTAACTGTCATGGTGTTTTTAAGGCTTTTTTTTTAATACTCCCACACCAATGCTTAAAATTTTTCTTGCTTCCTACTTATTTTCTCACTGCGTGATTTCATCCATGTGGCCTTTGCGATATTTCCTTATCTGTTTTCTCACCATCCCTATCCTATTCTAAGCTCTTTCACCCTCTACTTGAACCAGCTTCTACAGAGCAGGTATCCGCATCATCTCTTCCTATGTGTTGTATGTGAAACAGACCATTTGAATACTTGTGTTATGAAAGAAATTATTTAGTTGTAAATATCCTGTATTTTACTAGTGGTTTTGTTAATCTATTTGTTCATTATTTTTATTAATGTATGTTAAGCACCATTCTGTGTCTGACAGCCAGGATGCATGGGAATAGTGGCACAATACATCTTTATGTACTACACTGTTTGGGGGGGGCGGGGGTGAAACCCCCATGGATTTATTGGTAAAATAGGAGAAAAAAAAGTCACTGAAGAGAATTCCAATAAAATGATACTTGAGCAAAGACTTAAAGAAAGTGAGAAAATGAAAATGAGGATATATGTAAGGTAAAGAAGTACCAGATAAAAGGAACAGCAGGTAAACATGTCTCGGGCGCCCTGCACTCAGCCCCACCTCACCCCTTGTTCCCTTACTGCCCAATCAAGGGAAAGGAGCGGATTAGATAGAGTCCTAAATATACTTGTGGTCGGGGAGTGAGGGAAGCCAGGTGGGAAGAGGGGAGACAGAGAGCTTCCCTGGTTGCTGCCAGATTGGAAAGTTTGTGGAGAGAAGAAAGTAAGACATGGACTTAGAACCAGATGAGGATTTGGTGGACATGCAGATCTGAAAGTCTCTATAGACTATTTTAAAGATTTTGGTGGCAAGAACTGGGCTGCAATCTCAAAGAACTGTGGTTTGTGGCCACCAGCTGCTCCGCTGGAGAAGGATGGACAATCTCCTCCCTCGGGATTAACTGCCTAGGAAATCCCTCCGGAGGGTCTGCTACAGGTCGGTTCTGACTCTTTAGCACACAACAATAACAACTTTGAGTACAACAGGAAATTACTAGAGTATTTTGAGTAGGTGGAGACATCATTATTTTACCTCAAATGGAATGGGTTATTGAAGAGTTGGCAGGTAGGAAATGGTTAAGGGTCTTCCACAATAACTGCATAAAGTGACGACTTGGACAGGAATGATGTTAGGGAAAAAGGGGCTAAAATATTGTTTCTAAGCAACTGAATTTGTATTTGTTATTGTAGTGAATTAACTGAAGTGGGAGTTAACAACAAGTCAAAAATGCTCCAAAGTTTTTAACCTATGTACCTGAAATGAAAATGTGCTATATTTTGAAAAGATTCCTGGAAAGCTCAGTTATTATTAGTGGTGTAAGAAAAATAATATGTGGTTAATTTTTAAATGCTCATGTGTATAAATGGAGATATTGAGCTGGCACTTGAATATTCCCAAGACTACTCCCAAGAGAATAAAACTCAATCCGAGAACAAAATTTAGAAATGCCCACTCTATAGATATATCTAAATCCATGAGATTAAGTGATAACAGTGATAGGTCAAAAAAAGACTCAAGCTGTAGCTATTGAAAGTTTAGAGATTAAAGGAATAAGAATAAATATTGAGAAAAGAAGTTGAACATGTGGAGGGTTTTGCTGGTAATGGTCTGCATTATAGGTGGTAAAACAATAACTGGAGGAGTTATAAAGAGCTGGGAAACAAGATAACTTTGGTACGGATTCCATTTTAAGTAAAAAAAAAATCTTCACAATTGACTCACAAAAAAGCAGCATCATGGCAAACAGACAAAATATTATAGTGTTCATTTCATTTTACTGGGATTCACAATCCATGCCGATGGAAGCAACAATCAGGAAATCAAGTGGCATATTGCATTGGGCAGGGCTATTGCAAAAGATCTCTTTAAACGTCTTAAGAAGCAGAGGCCTATTTTTTAAAAGTATTGAAAAGCAGAGGTCTCGCTGTGGACTAAGAGTGCACCTAAAACCAAGTCTTAGTATTTTTTAATCACCTTATATGCATGTGAAAACTGAACAATGGATAAGAAAGGCCAAAGAAGAACTGACAAATTTTAATTACACTGTTGGAAAAAAATAATGACTATACCATGGACTGATCAAAGAATGAACAAATGTGTTTTGGAAGAAGTACAACCAGGATGCTCCTTAGAATCCAGAAAGGCAAGACATCATCTCACATATTTTGAATATGTATGTCTAGTCCCTGGAGGGAGACATCATACTTAGTAGAGTCAGATCAAAGGAAGACAACCTTTGGTGAAATGGATTGACACAGTGGCTAGAAAAAAGGAACTCAAACAATAGTAGTTACAAGGATGATGTGGGACCAGGCAGTGTTTTTATTGTGTTGTACTAGGATCCTTGTGAATCAGAATGGGCACAAGTGCATTTAATATCAACAGGAGATGTGATCAGGTGAGAGAATTTATTCAGCTACTTGGGATAAAAATCCAGGAGCAGGGTATGGATTGGTTTTTTCCTCAGATGATTTACATACATAAAAACACAAAGTAGGATTGCTGAAGCTCTAAGGCTTAGGTAGGTGGCAGGGAAGTGGGTTCTGGGGTTCTTGCCAGGAACACACAGAGCTTTGGATAGCATAGCATTGCATAACAAGATCAAGTCCAAACTTCACAATCTGGTCAAAACCTAGTTCTTCAAACATAGTAGTTACAGCAAACTTTAGTGATTCCTTATACTAACTGTTTTGGCTTCATCTATAATATTGGAATGGCTCTATTTCTCTCTAGAGTGCCCTATCCTTCTCCATCTATTCAAACAGATACATATATATTTTCTAACATAAACTTGCATTATTGTAACCTTTTAAAACTACTTCAAATACAATTAGGTGCTACTCTAGGTAACATATTGCACTGAAATATTTTCATGTTGGGGACCATAATCATGGAGGCCAAATGACCTTTTTTCAAATAATAATATATGCCATTAAGCAACACTCCATCAGATTTCTAAGACTGTTAAAGAACAAGGAGGAGACTTCTCATCTCTCCCCCATTTAGCAGCTGATGAATTCGAGCTACCACCTATTCAGTTAGTGGTCCAACAGGTTTTATGCTTACATCAACAGGATTCCTAATACAGCATTAAAATTCAAAACTAATTGTTCTGTATTTGGAACTGGTTTTCATAGCTGGTTTTCTATTGTGTTTCTGAGGCTGTAAACAGAATGCAAGGAGATTTCCTATCTCTCTCTGTGAAGCAGCTGTTGGTTTCAAGCCACAAGCTTTTGGCTTAGCAGTGCAAGGACTAAATGTGCTATTGTTCTCTTTTCTCTTTGCTCACTAGTATTTGCTAATACCTTCAGTATGTCACATTTCTGCCACATACTCCTCTCTCCTCTTCCCTCCCTAACTTTCCTCTTCCCTTTCTTCTGTACTTCCTTCTTTTATTCACTCACTCCTTCCTTGCTCTCCATTACTGCTTTCTCTTGTTCAATAAACATTTACTTAGAGTAACAAGGTTTTTTTTTTCTTGTTTCATTAAAAGAAGCAAAAGAAAAACGTCTGTCTTTTTTGAAAGACCATTCATATACTTTTTGTTCATAACAGTAATTATAATTTATCAATGACATTTATTAAACTATCTCATGATATCTCTGTACCTTGCCTTTCCCTTTGCACTATCCATCTTTCCACCAAACTCTGCTTCCCACTAACCCCATCAATCCTTCATGATTATTTCTATCTGTGTGTAAACCTTTCCTTAGTTCCTCCCCCAGTTAAATGAAAAATAACATATCAGCAAATACAACTTTTAAGATATCACAATCTGATCCTCAACTACCTTTTCTACTATATATTGTACAATAGGAATTACTGATACCAGTATAACTCTATTATTATTGAAGATACTGACATCGTCTCCCAAAACTAGTTTCTATGATCATAGAATGACTCTCAGGAGAGTTCCATCTTTTCCTCAAAGCTTTAGTCAAGTACTGCTTCCCTGAGGTTTCTTTACACCATTGATCATATCGCCTCCCCTTATTTGGAACTTAGAATCTGCCTTCCTGCATTCTTCTTATTGTTTTGGGAACATGTTTATAAATATAAGAGCATAATTCTTATATGCAGTAGATTCAATGCATTACTTTTCGCTAAAGTGACATCTCAATCAAAAAGAAGTCATAATTTTATTTAATTTGTTCTGTTTTTTTCTCATTCACATAAAATGCAAAGCAAGGCAAGATTGATTTTTTGGGGGACTCTATGTTCACAGTCAATGAAAAGAGTATCCTAGAATGGGCGATTAGGGACTGAACATAATTCAAGAGAATCTTCCAGTTTTTTGACTAGTTTGTGAAAATTAATACATTCCATGTATATATATATATATATATATATATATATATATATATATACATATATACATTATATATATAATATAACAGTAGAAACTATTTAATATTGTTGTTGTTGTTGTTATTAGATTCCTTAGATTAGGAACCAACTCATAGATCACTCTCTAGGATGGAAGAGATTGCCCATCCTTCTTCTGCAGTGGGTTTTCAGAGTCACCTAACTCTAATGGGAGGAGACTGCTCATATTTCTCTCACTGAGCAACAGGTGAATTAGAACCACATGATTTTGGATTGGCAGAATAACTCCTTAACCACTAAGCCACTGCAGTGCTAGCCAAAGGTTGGCCTTTATTTAGCCATTATGTTAGCCCCCTCTGGTTTCCAGCTACTTTAACTGCAGACACATGTTCTTGCAAATTTTAACAACAACTGTGGGACATGGACAAGAAGGAGAGAGAGAGAGAGAGAAAGAGAGTGAGTGAGAGAGTGCTTCTGACACTGAGCAGGAAGACCCAAGGGAGACTGGAGCAAGACCCTGTTGAGAGTAAGACCCTGGTGGTGAAATCTTGGTGATGGTGAAGGAGAGACTGTGGTATTGCTGTGGAGAAACTGTGGCAAGGTGTAAACACAGGAAACTTGGGCCACAGTTAAAGGATTTGCTGTGCATGTCAGATAATTAAGGAGAAAGTGATTTATAACCATGCAGAATGACTGAGGAAACAAGTTTTTTTTTTTTTAAATTTGTGTTGTTGAAATGAAACTAGGACTTTTACTAATTAAGGATTTGTGTTTTGCTCTTAATCTGGTTTGGGACTGCTGGATTAAATCTGGATTTGAATTGTGAAATAGTCCTCCCCAACTCTTTATTTCCCTAATAAATCCCACTCTTACTGCCACAACTTTAAGTACAATATATGAGTCAACAACAAATAAACAAAACTTCTAACTACTGGTGTGGCTCTTGAGGCACCATGGGGCTAGGCCTGTGTGTGTGTGTGTGTGTGTGTGTGTGTGTGTGTACTGTCGAGTCAGAACGGACCCATAGCTGGCCCTCTGGTAAGTTTTCAGAGGCAGTTAATTGTACTGGAGGATATTATCCATCCTTCTCACACAGAACAGCTGATGGGTTGGAACGATGTGTCTTTGGGAGCTCAGTGCAGTTTCCTGCCACTATGCTCTTTATCTGCTTTCTTCTCTTGTGTGGTGAGGGGTTATGCTGTTCTCATTCCCTCTGGCCTTTTCAAGAGAGACACTCAATGCCCGGTACCCCCATGTCCATTTTCAGCTCTTAAGATAGTTATCATCTCAGAATTTGTTGTTTATATAAATTATATAAATTTAATATCTCAGACTCCTTTTTAAGACAAATTGTGTCTAAAAAAGAAAATTGGGCAAAAATATAAATTCCATATTACCTTATCATGTAGAGATTCCTCAAGATTCTTTCTGAATGTTTCTGATTCTTGAATTAAAACATTCTACATGAAAAAAGAGATACTTTAATGTAAAATAATAAATATATAAATTTATGTTTAATCACTCAAGAATCTTCTTTGATTCCTTCCATAGGGCATGATTTTCTTGGTTTCCATGGGAACCAATTTCAAAGGAATGTTTTAAGCACAGCACCTCAATATTTTGAGAAACATACAATTTAAATAGAAAATTATTTTTTTATACTTGCATAGACATATGGAATAAATGTTATATTTTAAGTTTTATCTGTTTGCATCTCTTAGATTTGCATTTTAATTGAAAATAATTGGGTTAGGTTTTACATGAGAAAAACTGAGTAACACACTGAATATTAGTCAGAGGTGTTATGAATAATTAAGTCAAATTAATTCATTTACAATAACTGAAGAAAAAAGAAATAATCAAATCCAACTATAAAAGTTTAATTTCTGAATTTGTATTTCAAATAAATAATTAATTCTTTCTAATGATAGTTAAATTATTAGAGAAATAAAAAAATAATCTAACGTATTTGGAAAACTTGTTTCATAGACATGAAAAACTATCAGGCAAAACAAAAGAATCCTTATTACAAACATATCTTTGAATGTGGTTAACATAAACCTTGCTATAAACACTACATTGTTGAAAGTTCTCTTCATTTACAATGCTAGAATACATGGGTTAAAATGTTTCATTCTATTAAAATTTTTAAAGTTACACTTAGAGCATAGTAACTGATGTAGTAGCCATGCCTTGATATTTGTATTTGAGTGTGGAAAGAATGCATGTCTTATGAATTCTTAAAGATATATTAATCAAACCTAATTTCTCATGAAAACAGTTCTGTCTGTACTTACTTATTTGTAGCTTTGCAAAAGATCTAGCAAAAGTAGTGATTTTCCAAAGTGATTTTTCTACTGGTATTCTAAATCATACATTCACTTATGATCTGGAATTGCTACCAGTTCACAAAAATCTTGCAAGTCTGGTAGCTGTTATCAATGAGACATACACAGGCTCCTCAACCTTTTAGTGGGCTTGCCACTATTATTCTATCACTGTTGCCGATTGCCTTTGAGTTGAGTGGAACTCATAGCGACTCTCTGAACAAAAGACCTAATGCTTTTCCATAACTATCGTCCTTTAACTGAGTTCATAGAGTTTCTATAGGCATGTGGTTTAAGAAGTGGATACCAAATACTGCTTCCAAAACTGTTTTACAACTGGAAGCTCCATCAAACACTGTCCATATTGGGAAGCTGTTCTGGTATCAGATACCTCAATGACACAAGGTACAGCATCACTGCAACCCAGGAGACTTCCTACTGCACATTGACAAAGAGTGATGTACAAAGTATAAGAGTGTTCCTACAGATATAACAGCACTAGTTTCACTTAGCAGTGGATAAGTGTCATCAAGTCGAATATGACTGAGAGTAAGTTTTGCACAAAAGCCCTAAATGTTGTTCTATGACTGACATAATTTCTGTACAGAACTCCATTATATAACTACCATCATTTCTGTACATTTAGAGTTTAGAGAGTTTGTAGAGTTCACTAGAGATATTTGAATTCAAATCAAATCAAATCAAATCTCCTCCATGCCCCAAAAGGTGTCTTTTCATTTTTATCACTCTTATATATATCACTTATTTCAGATAAAGTAGAAATTAAATATTTTCATCACCCTACTACAGGATATTTTTATTTTATGATCATGTCAATGTGCAAAATGTATTTGTTATGCAGAATTTTTATTTCTTTAAAATTTTTATCTTTCCAACAGAAATTATTTCTTCAAAGTATGTGTGTATGCATATATTCATATACATTTAACATAAATGGATCACCTGATTAATATAAATGGTTACTACAGTATATGAGACACACATGATCGTATGGGCATTGCTGCATTCATGCTCTCATACCCTCAGGTCCATGTTACCTTCTCTTCTAGAGCAGCCATCCTTTCCTTTAAGTGGAGCTGTAGACGCTCATTGGATTCTGTCAGGAGTCTATCTACGGTATCAGATAACCTCTTGTTGTGCTCTTCATTCATTTTCTCTCTTTGCCTAGCCTTGAGTTTAAGAATAAAAGGAGAAGGTAAAATTGACATGAAAATAGCTTGAACAAATTGTGGGTTTGTTTTAGTATTTTTTGCTAGACTGAAATCCTATTTTATTGTGTTTCTGTAAAGCTTTCAGAAAAGTTATGAGCAACTGAACTATTTACATCTTGGAGTCACAAACATCAGCCCCATGAAGCCAATCCTATGAAAATCTGAGGTACATACAATGCATGTTAATAACAAATAAGTGCTATTTTGGCATGCATATTAATATTATTCTTATTCTTATATAAAAATGTTAAATCTGTATGGAATCATTTCTGCTATATTTTAATGCATAGAAGTTTCACTTCATATTCTATGTTAAGACAAATAATTTATAGGTAGAAACAATACCTAACTCTTCTGACTTATTGTAAAAATCTGACTTAAATTCAGCAACAGAATCTGAACACGGTATTAGAGATAAAGTAGATTTTCCCGCTTAAAAATGACAAGGCCTTCTACAACATTATAATTATAACCAATTATCAAGCAAATTATTGTTTTTCTATTTGAAGGACTTGAATCCATAAATTGGCCATGAAATGTTCTCAATATACATACTCTTTGAAGCTCTTGATTTTTCTCTTCAAGTTGACCTTCTAGATGTCTCATACGTTCTTCAATATTTCCATGTCTCTCTTCAGCCTGTAAAACAGACATGAAAAATGCACCTAGAATGTAGATTAGATTCACTTAACTCTTTTCTTCCAAATAAGTTGAAATAAAATGTAAAGCAAGCTACTACCAACCGCAAACATAGTTTCCAAAAAATAAACTTTTTTAAACAGGCAGCTGAACAGCATTGCTTGAAATGTGTCAGCTACAAAGGCCTGTTACATCCAAGCATCAGCAAAACATTGGAGTTATTTATGAGCAATGAAATCAGCCAAATGTAACATGCAGACTGTGCATGGTTTGAACACAAACCTGCCATTGTCCAATCTTAAGCTCCTGAAGCACTGAACTGCACAGATGGTCGATTATCAATAAATAAAAGTAACATAATTTTTAGAAATGAAAAGAAAAACTTAGATGGATTCTATTTAGCAATAGAATGTAAAGTCCAGTAGGACTACCTTCCTACGTATGGAGATCATTTCTTGTAGTTTAGCTTCCATAACATATTGATAATCATCAGATGAGGTAGAAGAGGTTGGATCAGACTAACAAGTCAAGGAAAAGGAGAGGGACAAAATTGAAAAATCAGAACTAAAGACACTGACACCAAACAGAACATAGCACAGAATGCTTAAAAGAAAAGTGTGACAGCAAATATAATACTCTAATAGACAGAATTTATGTGGAAAGAACTACACTTGTATCTGGTGAACATGATGCAGTTGATGGTTAGAAATGAAAAAAAAAGTGATATGCTAAAATAAAATGTTATCAACCTAAGGAATGGAAGATTAGTGATGGTTGGCTGATGAATGATTACTACAGAATGAATCAAAGGAAATCTGAGAAAATCACATCATAATTGAGAAATAATTATGGGAAACCAAACACTAGAATATGTCTCTGATAAATCATTCAAAGGCTTGTAGTTCTGTTGGTTTGCTTAATCACATTATAGAAAAAGCAGTAGAAAAAATGTGTTTCAGTAATGAGGAAATGCTTAGGTATTAATTCTGGTGTAATAAATTTGGAAAAAAAAGTCTAGTATAAATTCTATTTAGTAAAAATAAGGAAAAAAAAATACTAAGCTATGAGGTTAGTTGTGAGTATTCCCAAATTCAAGGAGGATTGAGTTTTCTCAACAACAGTGGCAAACTTATAAAATAATCTCAGGTCTTGAAATGCGTACAGATGATTGCCTAGAACTATATCACCTGCTCTTCGACACAGGTGTACTGTTATATTTTTCAGTGAAAAATTATTGAAAGTCTCTAGCTTATTAACTTGAGAGTAATGCTGTGAGGACAAGAAAATTTACTGGTGTATGTTTCTGAATTACACTAGAGACTGGTCCCAAAATGTTTCAAAAATTGGTTTGTTGCTATGGAAATAAATAGCATTCTAAAGGGGAGAGACACCTCAGTGACTTGTGAATTAACGTTGGCCCTGTGCCGAGGGTAGCTGCATGTCAGGTTACCACAGGTGCACCATGTTCAACACATGTGACATTGCTGATAGTTGAAATATTTTACTGCCTTAAGTACATATTACATATTAATTTATATCAACACATTGAAAATGTTTACAAGTTAACTAATTATCACGTTAAAAGGACCCTGTATAATATCTATAACTTTAACTCTAGAACATATTCTGTCACACTTCCTAAAGTCATTCTAAAACAGTGAAATTTATTTTATGCAAATAGACTCATATAGAAATATGCCATGCAGTACCAGAAAGTAAATAGTATTCATATATTGATTAATGTGCATATATTCTATTTTATGCAAGTAATCTCAATTTAATCTATGAAATATACATTTAACCTCTCAAATTTGGTCTGATTATTAAATTATATATAGGCATTTACATTTTTGCCAGATTTTATAAATGGGAAAAATAATGTAGAAATTATGAATAACCAATTTCTCCTCACATCTTCTTTAAATTTCCAAAGAGTCACATAATAAGCTATTATAGTGAGCTACTTTAATCCTCAAATAACATGAAATATTTCTAACATAATATGAAATATAAAATTCAATTATAAGTACAGTAAATATATAAAAATGTTGGTTATGAATAAAAATTTATCTGTAATCTCTAAAAAGTACATATTAACAGTATCACTAAAATCAATCAGATAATTGATTTAAGGTATTTTAACTTCCTTCTTGTTGGACATAAAAATGCATGAGCTACCGTATGGAATAAAAGAGGAATCATATCCTTGCTGAGAGACTTTACATTTAATGAAAGAAATAACAACCAAGCAAAATCACTGTAACTTTGAAGATTCTCTCTGTTACTGCCATGGATTAAGAATAAATTTCTAGCGGACTCTCCAGCAGATTTCTAAAGCTACAAATTGCATGAGAGGAGATTTCCTACCCCCCAACACCCCACAAAAAGCCTGGTGGATTTGAATCCAAGTGAGCAAGTCCTTTGAGTTAGTAGCACCATTGTCTATAGACTATGCCACCAGAGCTCCCTAAATTAAACAATTAGAAAACCAAAGTTTTAATAAGTTAATATTTGTACTCAAAAACAAGTCCTCTATCCATTAGATTTCTTAAAAGTCATATATAAACTTCACCAGTATCTATATATTCTCATGTTCTCTCTCTCTCTCTCTCTCTCTCTCACACACACACACACACACACACACACACACACCCCTATCTACATACAGTAACTTAATGGTAAGAAGTTTCCCTGTCAACTCCGAGGCGTCTGATTCAAATCTACCAGTTGCTCCACAGGAGATGAACAATCTCCTTTCATGTGATTTATAGCCTCCAAAAACTTACTGGAGTGTCAATTTTGAGTTGGTACAGACATAATGACTGCACTAATGCACTATTATTTTATTTGAGACTCATATAATTTGCATCTATTGATTTTTCACTGGGTAATTTTTAGAAATATATTTCTAGGCATTTATTTCAAATCTCTACCCTGAGAGCTCTGCCCAGAACTGTTCAGCATTGTACAGTCACACATCTCCACTGATGGACAGACGATGGCTTGATTAGAGGAGCTCATCTACGGATCAAATCTGGGGTTTCCACATGAAAGCCCAGAATTCTACTTAGTGAGCTATTGCCTTCTCTGTAGCCATGACTACTCTCATTACTTATAGCTGTATTGTCATTACTGACTCCTTGCTGACACTCCAGTGGGCTTTTAGGGTCTGTAAATTACAAAAGAGGAGAGAAGGTATTGTTGGTCTTTCTTTCATGAAGCTGCTGGTGGTTTCATTAGTAGTACAACTTTGTATGGACTGCACCACCAGGAGTAGCTTTAATAACATTTAGCAATAAAAGAATAAACTCAGACAACACATCTTTAAAAGATACACTAGGATAAATTCAATTAACAATATAATTTTATTTATCAGCTTCACGAAGAGTATGATTAACCAATTGGTTTGAACATCAAGGTCCCACAAGATCAGTTTACTACTTTTACTTGTATTTCTGCTTTATACAAAGTACAGCGTATCTAGGTTTTACTTGTTGATGTGATAGAAGAAAATGCAAATAAAATGATTTCAAGAAGAAAATACAGGGAGAAAAGGTTTGGGAGAAATGTGACTATATTCAAAACTAGAGGAAAAAGAAAGTATGGATGACCTAAAAAAGGAAAAAAAAGAAAGAGGTGTCAGTTAGTAAATATCGAGGAAAAATATAACATAAGTAAGATGTATGAGAAATTTTTAAGTATACCATTTCAAATTACAGTGGAGAACAGAATCAATGTTTAAGCATACGTATATTTATTCTAATGGGTACTAAAGTTTAAGAAATAGAAGAATGCTGTACTATGATCAAGGTCCAAAAGAGCAAAATAAAACAGAAAAAAGGACAAATAAAGAAATAAAACTCTTATATTATAACTTTTTACTGTTGAGTTTAAACTATTAGCTGAACCTCCAACAAGTTTTTCGAGGTTGCAAATCACACAGGAGGAGACTATCCATTTTTCTCCTGCAGATCCACTGGTGAGTTGAAATGGCTAGACAGGCATCACTGCCTTGGAAGTTATCAGCACAACTCTCCATTGTGGCCAATAGTAGTTAGATACTGTAAACATATTGCAACTTAAAGAAAAACCAGCTTAAAAATATATCTTTATAGGTATGGACAACACAGGGCAAGTAAAAGATTCCTGAAGCCATAGAACCTGACAAAATAACAGAAAGAGTGATCTTTTAAAATCTTATAAAAATATTACAACAGGAGGAGTGTATTATGGAATTATTATAGAAATATTTAGAGAGATTCAATAATGAATTAAATAAGGTGATGAAAATCTGAACATTGTATATATGAATAATCATATTGATAAAGCTCTTGTCAGAAAGTGGTGAAGACACTGTGGAGGGTGAATAGTACCATTGGAAGACTCTTAGAAAGAATACAATCTCATCAAAACTAAGGATAGCAGAAGGGAACCAGAGAGTGACATTTTGGAAATATTAGATAGAAGGCAAATGAGGAAATGATTGTATGTATGTCCATCTACTGAATAAAAGAAAGAGCCGCTGAAAGTAAAGAGTAAAAAAGAAGAGACACAAACTCATAATAGTTTTAAAAATATGTTTAAGAATCGAGATTTTTATATTTTTAGAAGTCATATATAAAAAAATCGCATTTTACAATATATCTTATTCTCTATCCATCAGATATAATTCAAGGCAAATATTTGTTGATTTTTCAATTGCATGTTCTGATTCTCTGGTATTTTATTCAGAAGTTGTTACATTCCTTTATTTTACAGTGGAGTTTTACAGAAGCTTTTTGTATATTACTCTCCAATTCCCCTCACCTAAAAATAGTGTAAATCAACAAAGGAATCTATAATGTGTTGTAAATCTTTTTATATTTTTCGAATTATATATATATGTGTGTGTGTGTGTGTGTGTGTGTGTGTGTGTGTATGTGTATATAAATGTATATATACACATGCATTGGGTTTCCAAGACTATAAATTGCTTAATCACATGGGTGAAGGGACAGTGCAGGAGAGAAAGACCACAGATGAGATGGATTGATACAAGGGCAACAAGGCAACAAAGCAAACAAGTAACAAGGGCAATGATGGTAAGTGTGCCAGAATCAGAGAGACTGGCTCCGAACAGAGCTTCAGAGCTGTGCATAGGGTACAGAGGGTCCTTATGAGTTGCAGGCAATGTGATGGTACATGTCAACAACAGAACAACTATAAGTATATAGCTATAGCTATATAACTAACAATCTGTGTTAATTATCATTCACATTTAAAGAGAGTGAATAAAAAGATGACAGGGTATACATACATGTATTCACAATATATTTTACTCCTTTAAAATGTGCTTATAACAAAAAAGGATAGTTTGCCTATTTTTATAGAACTTATGGAATGTTTCTCTAATTAAATGATAAATTCTCTTTTATCTTAAGAGTAATACATTACTGAAATGCCTACAATTTTTGAGTAGTCTCTGATTAAGTAAAAATACAAGTCAAAATTTTACTCTAATCACACTCAAAATCAGCTCTTCCATATTTTCTAAAAAGAGGCTAATTTATAAAATGGGCATAAGATATTGAAAGCTTTGTTAAATACTGAACATCAGTAAAATGATTGCCCACAAAGCCTAAATCTGAGAGTGCTCTGAAGAGAAATCGGTAGCAAAAATTTAAAAAGAACCCCAAAACAACCCACATATACTAAAAACAAGTCATTTAAACTGTGTCTATAAATTATTTAAAAATATTGATTCAATCTAGTTAGTGAAATATGCTGGGCATGACAAGGAGTCATATTTATATAAATAAAACATCATTCAACTGACTCACTAAGTCATATTTCTAGTGTTTGTTACATTATAAAAATAATTTCTGACTCACAAATCCAACGTTAACATTTAACTTAATACTTAAAATTAAAAGTAGTCATAATAGGTACTAGATGTGTCAGGGGATAGTGAACAACTTGGAAGACTAACAAATTGTGTTAAGTATCATTCACATTTAAAGAGGGTGAATAAAAAGATAACAGAATATGGAAGAAAACAATGTCCTTATCACTAATAGTTCCATGATTAATTAATTTGAATATTGCCCCTTTTTATTATCAAGAATACTCTATTGGGCTACCTTCTACTATTTTGAGAATATGAATTAATTAATTAATATCTATTACTAACTAATTTGAGAATATATAGTATTAACTAATCAGATAATATAATTAATTAATTAATTAGAAAATCTCTATTAATGGTGATGCCTTTGGTTACAAACTCACTGACATCTGATAAGCTAATGTGGAAAATTTTTAATTGTCCTGGATGTGGTTAGTAGTTATGACAACTAACCTAGCAACTAATTATCAACACTCTTGGTGCCAGAAGCCAGGAAATCAAAAGACAAATTACACTGGGAAAATCTGCTGTCAGAGACCTCTCCAGGTTACTGAAGTGCAACAATATTAGACTGGAGACTAAGGTGTGCCTGACGCTGGCCATGGTCTTGGCAATTACTTGCTTTACATCAGAAAGCTGGACAATGACTAGGGATGATTGAAGAAGAGTTGATACCTTTGAGGAATAATGAATATACTATGGACTGCTAGGAGTACAAACAGATTCATCCTGGAGAGAGTGAAACTAGGCTGTTCCTTGGAGGCAAGGATTCTGCCTTAATCTGACAGACTTTTGCCATTTTCCAAGGAGGGACCAGTTCTTGGAGAGGACTTGGGAGGTAACTTTTTGCTATTCAGAATGATGTTTTATTAGATTACTACTTCAATATACTTCTAGCAACAAACTATTCCCATCCATCATGACTGCATATTGCGTCAACAATCTGCATTATGCAGGTGACACAACTCTGCTTGCTCAAACTGAGGAGAACCTAAAGCTTTTACTGCAGAATGTCAAGGACTGCAGCCTTCAATATGCACTGAGGCTAAACATCAAGATAACAAAGATTCTCAACAGTAGGCCTACTGCAGGATTATGATTAATGTGGGCCGACTGCATGATCATGATGGATGATGAAGAGATTGAGATTGTTTGCAGCTTCAGTTTGCTTGGCTCCACAATAAACACTCTTGGTACCAGCAGCCAGGAAATTAAAAGACAAATTTCATTGGTAAAGTCTGCTGTTAGAGACCTCTCTAAGGTACTGAGGAGCAATGATGTCAGTCTGGAGACCAAGGTGCGCCTGAGACAGACCATGGTCTTTGCAATTACTTGCTATACATCAGAGGTCTGGACAATGACTAGGGATGATAGGAGGAGAGTTGATGCCTTTGAGCTGGGGTATTGGAGAAGAGTATTGAATATACCATGGAATGCTAGCAGAACAAACAAGTTCGTCCTAGAGAGGGTGAAACTGGCTGCTTCTTGGAGGCAAGGAATCTGAAGCATCATTTGACATACTTTGGACATGTTGCAAGGTGGGATCAGTTCTTGGAGAGGGACATCATGGTTGGGAAGGTGGAGGGACAGCGCAGAGAGGAAGACTCTCGATGAGATGGATTCATTCAGTGACTGGGGTAATGGGGATAGGCATATCATAGACAATAATTTTGGCAAGTGATAGAGCAGGGTTTAGGGCTGTTGTACAAAGAATTGCTATGAGTCGCAGGCGACTCGATGGCACATAACAACAACAACAACAATATAAATCATAATAGCATAATGCTTGGGAGGGTGGCAAAAGCGCACAGGAGAGGAAGAGCGTTGATGAGATGGATTGACTGAGCGACTGGGGTTATGTGGGTAGGTGTGTCAGAGATGGTAAGGTTGGATCAGAATAGTGCAGGGTTCAGAGCTGTTGTACATAATGTCGCTGTCAGTCCCAAGGGACTTGACAGCATATAACAATAATAGTGAATTCTTTACATTTTTACTGTTGTTATTTTTTATCATAGAGTTGGAACCGAGCCACAGGTGATACTCAAGCAGGTTTTCAGAGGTAGTTAATGGCACCAGAGAAGATTGTCCATCCTTCTGCTGTGGAGCAGCTAGCAGCCTAGAACAGTGTGCCTTCAAGATAGCAATGCAGCTTCTTGCCACTAGGCAACCAGAACTCCCTTCCGTTTTCACTATTTGGTAATTTTATTTTAGCTAGAAGACAGATTAGTGTACTGTCATTAATGATTTAGTTCTTTGAAGAATTCAGTCATGTGACACCATTTCTCTTTGCTACATCAATTGTTTTGGATAATCCTTAATGCAAGAATGTTAAGCTTACTGTTCACAAATCTACATTATATGTCTACTTAAGGCAGTATCCTGGGAAACGGAATAAAGATTACTAGTTGTGTGAACATCTAAATTACGTTATGGTTTTTAATTGATATACAATTCCATCATACTTTAGTGACAATGTATGGATTTTTAGCTAGTGGCATGTGGGTTTAAAGAGCTCGTGGGTCTAGAGTGTTATAAATTGGGCTGCTAACCTGAAAAGATATGGAAATTCACCATATACCCCAAAAAAGCAAAATGAGAAAATCTCTCATAAAGTTTTATAGTCTCAGAAACCCAAGAGCGTGCCATAAGGGGTCCGAAACACCTCAGTGACAATTGTTTTTTGGCCCCAATGAGAATATACACCTTGAAACAATGCTATTACAATTTGCCTGTAAAATATTAAGTAAAATTTCAGAGCTCACTACACATTATAAGTATTCTAAAATACTATACCATACAGCCACAGTCTTCAGGATATTTTTGTTATAATATGGCTTACAATTTTGTACATTTCTTTAAGATGTTATTGATTTTAATTGATTAATAAGAAATTACTTCTCAACTTGATGGCACCTAACAACAATAACCACAACTAACTGGCTTTTAAATTTTGACTACAACTTTTACTTCCAATTTCTCAGATTTTATCATACTAAATTGAATTGGTTGCTGATAAAGAACATTGAATATAGCATAGACTTCCAGAAGAAAATGAAAAAAAAAGAAAAGAAAAGAAAATCCCCAAACAAAACCCTAAACATAACTATCTGAGTAAATTCAGCCACATTATTCCTTCCTAGAAACTCGGGCTTTGACGTGTCAGGAGGGATCAGTTGCTGGAGAAAAAGTCCATCATACTTGAACAGGGTCAGTAAAAAAGAAGGTCCTCAATTTGATGAATTGACACAATGGTTGCAACAATGGGGTCAAAGACAGAAAACTGTAAAGACAGTGCAGGATCGGTGTTCCATTCGGATGCACATTAGGACTTTATAAGTTAGACCCAGCTTGACGGTATCTGGTAAAATCCACATTAGTAGAAAGGAATCAACTGTTATATCCTGTGTATTTTTAACATCAAAAGTGTTAAGCCTATTAAATGATTATTTTTCATGTGTACACAGATTAAAAATCATCATTGCATTTACCTTTTGTGACTATTCTCCTGTGCAAATAATACAACTGGCAATTACTATGACAACTCCATGAAATATCATTAGTGTTTGTAATGTTCAAATATTCAAGGAGATGGGGACATTTTATATGTATAAATTAGAGATTTATATTAAAAATTCAACCAATTAACATTTAAATAAATGTAATAAAGATCAAGTAAATATAAGTTTTATAGAGTCTAAAAAAATGTATTTATTCCATTTTATTATAGCATTTCTACAAATGTATTTGTGCTGACCAGTTGTTTCAGTGCAGTACCTTTGTCAGAGCTGCAATTCTCTGAGCTAGTTCAGCCTCTACTTCAGGCAACGTCTCAGCCTTTCTCATTGTCTGCTGTAACTTTTGCTCAGCCAGTTCAAGACGTTCTTGTAACTGCCTATTCTTCTCTTCCATCTGAAAAAAAATGGTAATATAGACATTCAAAGGGCCTGGTTAGGGTAGTGATCAAGCAGCATCTAAATATACAAAGTGATAACTTTTCACACTTTTGTGCTTTGCTTATCTCTATTTCTTGAAGAAATTCAGCACTATAACAAAATACAATTCTTGCCAACTATAGAAAAAGAGGAAGAAATTATTGATTAATATAAACTTGAATGAATAGAATTTAGTTCAAACTATGATGTACTAACAAAACACATTGAAAATCACAGGTTTAGCCCAGTGTAAGGAGGATATGTAATTTGTTATGAATCAACGCTTTAGAGATAGAATGACTTTTTTTTATAGTAGTCTAGAAAAGTAATAAATTAGACTTTGTGTGCCATGTAGTCTGTGCCCAAACTACTTAACTGTGCTTTTATAGTCTAGATGTAGCCCCATTTTGAGTAGATGAAAGAGTAGCTTTTGTCTAATAGAAACTTATTTATTAAAATAGACATACATGCAGACTTAGCTTGTGAGTGATAGTTTGATAACCCCTGGTCTAGAGTCAGTGCATGTAGGCCTCCGTGATTGGCTTTGGTGTTTTCAAGCTGAGAAAGTGTTGATATCTTGAACTTTAGCCGCCTCAGTATAACAATTATGCCTACTTCTTAGGTTATGTTTTCTATTAAGTGAGAAGTACATACACACTCCTTACCATAACTAATGTGTACTCATGTACCTTACATGTCTAAGATAAAAGCAGATATAGTTATTAATTTTTTTAGTAGGAGTATTTTTCTTTATTATTGTAGGAAGCAAAATTACATCCTTAAAGTTGCATTTGTTTAATTCTGAAATTAAATAGTTCAAAATTTTTAAACAGTTCAATTAATTTATTTAATGACCAGATGCTAAGAACATCTGCCATTTTTAATTTACTGTATTGTCTTGAGAACAGAGTTTACACATCAGCCGGAAAAATACCAAGACAGAGATACTGAACCTGCCGGAGGATGGCCTCTTTATTTGCTAACTCGTTTTCCAGTTTATCATTCATGTCGTGTATGGAGGTAGATTCCCTCTGAGCACTGAGGTAACGTTTCTCAAGGGTTGTAATTCTCTCTTCCATATCTTCTTTTTGTGCCATGGCCTGGAGTAATTATAGGCAGGAAGTAAATAAAAATTAAACTCAGATACTCAGTATGCTAGGGCACTGTTTTTATATCTAAATAAAATATTAAAATTACTGCTTTCTTTGCAGCCAATAGTCATTCCTTTATTTTCATGTACTACATGCAATATTAAAAATACTTTTAATAAATTTTCTCTTAATTCCTCTTATATCTTAAAAATGATTCTGCTTTTAAAAAATATAGTTGAGTACATTTTGACATTTTATTTTTTAAATTTTTTTCACACTTTAGAGATTGGAGATAATACAGTGCATCATGCAACATAGCTAGGTACAATTATGGGTGGAGTTGTAAACCACAAACTTGATAAAATGTTGGCTCTAGGTCCAAATTGTATAATCTTCAATTAAGAAATAACAAATATCATCAGTATTCTCATCTTCACACAAAGAGCAAGTGAATCACTAAAAGATACCAAAAATAATGGTAAATTTAAATAAAAAAACATAAATGATTTTACCAGTTGACTTAAGAAATACATGCTTATACATTGAAGGTATAAGTGTAATAAAAAAGTGGCAAACTTTCTGTGATAATGAAATGGAAAAATGGCATAGATAATATTTTAGATACACATTAAGGCACATAGAATCTTGAGAGAGTTTTCCCTTCCGAATGGCTTTAATGATAAGTTTTTAGTAAGTGGACAGCTTACTTTATGGAAAAGATGCTCAAATGCCTCAGATATAAGCCTTATTAGCCTGGTTTGAGTTTCTTAATATATAAAAATTTCCTTGGACTAATACTTTCTACATTTAGGGTATGGTGTTACTGTCTTACTGATGTCCATCACCCTTTTACTATAATTGTTCCTGAGCAGATGAATTATTCACACTGTTTCTTCAGGATGTAAAACTAGTGCTATTATAAACATGGGGGGGTGGGGGAGGAACCCAAAACAAACAAACAAAACCCTTGCTTAATATTCTATAAAAAAAATTGCTACTGAGTACCGTTGAGTACTGTTGAGTCAAAATTGACTCAGAGCTGACCCTCCAGTGAGTTTTTGGAAGTAGTTATTCTAATGGGAGGAGACTGTCTTTCTTTCTCCCATGGGGCTGTTGATGGATTCTAAGTATATAACTATTTTGTTGGTACTCACTTCCTTACAGTCTTAGAACTTCAAAATAAATCTGATGGCAATGATTTGGGAATCTATTTATTTGCATGTTTACCTTGTTAACATTTTCTCACCACATCCTGGAAAAGAATTACATGTATCCAAATTATTAACTTCTATTTTTATTTCACAATAAATCTGCCACATTTTCTTATAGATTAATTAAGACGTTAGCTTTTTGTGCTACTCCCTTTTCCTTCACATTTTTCAACTGATCAAGAAAATGAATATAAATGTGCTTCATTCAAGAGATAGCTGCTGAATGGGTAATAAATAATGATCTAGCTAAAAGTTGTCTATAAACATACACACTCGATATAAAGCCACAGATAGGTTAAAATACAAAGGATGAAATTTAAAACAATAAGATACAAAGCAAGAAATAAACAGTAAACAAAAGTGCAAGAATGGCAATGTTAGTATCTGACAAAATATACCTTATTTAAAAATCAACTATAGAGAATAAAAAGGAAAATTTTTTAAAGATGCAAAGATCAATTTTGTGAGAAGACATAACAGTCATGAATATTTTTGTGTAAATTGCTGGGCTACAAGTTCATAAAGCAAACTCTTGGAAAGTTAAAGAGAAAAATAGACATATCTACTTGGCCAACTGACTGAAAGACATCCATATTCCCATTTCCCCAAAAAGGTGATTCAACAGAGTGTGGAAATTATTGAGCAATATTGTCAATATCACATGCAAGGAGAATTATCCAAAAATGACTAGAACAGTATATTGCCAGAGAACTGCCAGAAATACAAGCTCTGGTTAGAAGAGGCCTTGGCGTTAGGGTTATAATAGCCAATGTCAGATGGACCTTGGCTGAAAGTAGAAAATACCAAAATTACATCTATTTGTGTTTTATTGACTATGCAAAGGCATTGAACTATGTGGATCATAAGTGATTGTGGCTAACATTGAGAAGAATGGTAATACTAGAACAGTTGATTATTCTACTGTGGAACCTGTATGTAGATAAGGAAGCAGTTGTACAAACAATGTAAGGAAACACTGTATGGTTCAAAATCAAGAAAGGAGTGTGTCAGGGATGTAAATATTGTCCATAACTTTTCAACATATATACAGAATAGATCACTCAAGAGGTTTTATTTATGAAGAAGGATGTGGCATCAGGATTAGTGGAAGACTCGCTAACAACCTCTGTATGGTTATGAGGAAGACTTGAAATATTTGCTGTAAAAGGTCAAGGACTGCAGCCTTCCATATGGATTTCATCTTAACATCAAGAAAACAAAGATTCTCATCTTTGGGTTAACTGGCAACATCATAAAAGATTGAGGTTGTTAACAATTTCATTTTCCTTAGATGCACAATCAACACTTTTGACACCAGCAGTCAGGAAATGAAAATATGAATTACTTTAGGAAAGGCTGCTCTGAGGGACCTCTCCAGAATGCTAAAGAGCAATGATACCAGTCGTAATACTAATGTTTACCTGATCTAGGCCATGGTCTTCTCAATGGTTTGCTAAGTGAAAAGACTAAATGAATTAAGGACCTTTCCAAAGTACTGAAGAGCAATGGTGTCTCTCTGGAGATGAAGGTGCGTCTGATACAGTCCATAGTCTTTGCAGTCACTTGTTATGCATCAGAGAGTTGGACAATGACTAGGGAGGACAGAAAAATTGATGCCTTTGAGCTTTGGTGTTGGAGAATAGTATTGAGGGTACCGTGGACTGCTAAGAAAACAAACAGATTCATCCTGGAGAAGGTTAAACTGGGCTGCTCTTTGGAGGCAAGGATTCTGAGGCTTTGTCTAACATACTTTGGTCGTGTTATAGGGAGAGACCGGTCCTTGGAGAAGGACATCATGCTTGGGAGGGTAAGGGCAGGCACAGGAGGGGAAGGCCCTCTATGAGGTGGATTGATTCAATGACTGGGGTAATCGGGGTGGGTGTGTCGGAGACAGTGAGATTGGCACAGGACAGAGCAGAGTTTAGGGCTGTTGTACATAGGTTCACTATGAGTTGCAAGTGACTCGACGGCACTTAACAACAATAACCACCTGATATTTTAGCAAAGGAAGTACTATAAGAAACCAATGCTACTAAAAGTTGCTTCTTTGAAAGGTAATCAATAAAATAAACAAATGACTCCTAAATAAAGGAAGGAAAATATGTAAATAAGAAATGAAATATGAGAACTTAATATTATAATTTATCTAAACGTATTGTGATGGGAAAGTCTGCTGTTAGGGACCTCTCTAAAGTACTGAAGAGCAATGGTGTCACTCTGGAGACTAAGGTGCATCTGATACAGGCACCTTGATCTCTGCAATCACTTGTAATGCATCAGAGAGTTG